AATGAATCCATTTTGCTCTCAGTAAGTTCAGATTTTAAGTCTAATGTGAAATACTCTGCAAGGATTTAAGTGCCCTTGGAGAACTAGCAGCTTCATTCTGAGACAGTCACTCCCTCAACACGGAAGGCACAGCCACAAACCTCACCATAACAAAGTACTTAAAAAAACAGTACTTTTTTGCAACACCTGGTAAGCACAGAGTAATTGTGCCCATTTTAAGATGCACAGTACCTGAGTTCAGATCCTTCCTGTCCTCATTGGGAGGACATCTACCTCAGGAGAAGTTACAGACAGAAAACAAGGTAGTCAGGAGACCCTTGTTGCTGTGACTGCTCCACTGACAACACAGATGTGGCCAGAAAAAGTGAGTTAGGGTGATGAGTGCCTACTGCCTGCACTAACCTTGTAACATGAGTGTTTCGGTTCCTGTGACAGTTTATTTGTTACTTGTACCACGCTGAATAAATCAGATGTGCATAAAAGACTGCCAAATGCAGCATTCACCCCAGCAATCAGTGATTCCACCACAACGCAAGTTACGCTTTCTGCCTAAAGCCCCGGGCTGCTCTTCCACATTCCCCATGAATTTCCAAAAAAGAACGCAATGCAGTTATCTTTTATGTCTTCTTTGAGGCCTGATCTGGTAAGCCTGCTCAAAATACCTAACTGCAGTGGGTTCGGAAGCCAAGAATTGGTTAATGAGGCTAAGGTCTGTCACGATTATGAAATAGTCATGTCAAGACTTTGGTACCTAAGCTCACGAGAGGAGGCCCTTAATGCTGTTTCTGCCTGAAGAATTAGGTGACTTCTGTAAATACGGATTTTGAATTTGACCTCTTGAAAACTGCACAGTTAGCAGTCAGTCCACCAACACGCACAGCTGATTTCCTGCTAAAAAGGGATGCATGCAAAGGCTAACTAACATCAGCCAAGACAGAAGCCTCTGCCTTAATCAGTACTGGCCAGCCAGAAGTACTGGGTAGGAAGGACGTTCACCAGACTAATTTAAGAACTCTTAGCTAGGAGAAGTACCGAGGTCTGAGCACCAGAAGGGAACGCTTGGGGCTTGCGGGCAGAGAGCTCCTCATGGTACAACATGCTCGTGCCGATAAATATTTAGGCAACTTAGCAGAATTTAAAAGAAAACGACAATGCGGTTTTTCTCCCCCTCCCTTAATGGAATTAAGGCTCCGCACAAACCCTGAAGGTGCTTCGGCAATACCCTCCTCATCACCAACTCCGACAGTGAAGACGGCGCCAGTGACGGTGCCCACGGGTGCCTGCGCACGGGTGTAACCCTCGCCGCAACGCGTACACTTGAAGAGCCAGTGCCACAAGCAAAACCACGCCATTTGCTTCTTAGGCTCACGTTAGCTCTAAGTGAGAAGGCCCGTGGAACGGGAACTCGGGCGTACTCCGCGCTGTCAGGCTAACGCTCTGCCCCCACTTTTTACTTCACGGCGTTCCCTGCACGGACGTGAAGGGCCGCATGAGCCCAGCCGACCGAGGCACCGGAGCCGCTCGCCGGCAGAGCCC